CCCTGAGCATGGCCTCCTCCAGCTCCAACACTAAGTCCCCTCATCACCATTGTTATCAAATACTGGAGAGCGCTTTCGGAGGTTCTGTGCTTTTGTTCAGTAAATAAAGGCTTAGGGTCACACATTGAGTTGTAATTTCCATATGAAATTGCGTTCTTTTGGGGTCATGGTCTTACCCACCTCATGCACACATACTGGATGTGTTTGTAGCCCACATTAGGATTTTTACTGTTTTTTTTTTTTAATGCAAGTAGAAAACCATGGTTGAAGACACTTTGGATTTATCAGCTCACAGATAAATTTCACCCTTGAAGCAAGTCTAGAAGAAAGGAAAATTCAGATTGTGTGAAGGTGGTCTAGAGGAAGGAGGCTTGGCTCGGAGCCAGACCAGCAGAACCCTGCCGTGGCAGAGAGAGGTGGAAGCTGTGTGTGTGTTGAGACACATGGAGAGACATCTAGAAATTTCCAAGTAGACATTCCCTCTTCCAGAGACACTTTAAGGCCATTCAGCTGAGCTCTGTAACATGCGAGGCTCTGTGCTTGGCGTTGGGGAAAGGAACAGAGAGGGGTTGAGATTCAGAAAAACTAAAGACCCGTGTTCAGCTTTAGGAAGCTCACACAGAACTCTGGCTGATGCCACATCTTTGTAAACTGCAGCCCACAAACTCTGGGCCGCACTGGCTCCGTACCTTTAGGCATGCCCCTGCCTCAGAGCGTTACAATTTGCTGTCCTTCTCCTCTGCTGTTCCTTCACCTCTCACAGCCCTCTACTCAAAGCAGCATTCAGCGAGGCCTTCCCTGGACACTGTGAAATCTCCCAGACCCCAGCCTCTTCCCTGTGTCTCCCATCTCGGTTCCTCTGTGTAAACGTCGGGATTGGCTGACATTTCTTTCCTGCTCCACCCCAGTGCTTACAGCAGTTCCTAGTAGGCACTCATTACATGTTAATAGAGTTAATGAGTGATCAAATTAATTAATTTCAGGGTCAGGGAGGGCCATGTGCAGAGCTCCAGTAACCAGAAGTCCAGAAGGTGTGTGTACTGGGTTTCTTCTTGGCTGTAACAACCGATCACAAACCAAGTGACCTAGAACAATACAGACTTTGTATGTTGTGATTCTGAGCCCATCTCACTGGGTGAGAATCAAGGCTGCATTCCTTTCCACTGGCAGCAGGGGGAGCCAGACCAGCAGAACCCAGGGGAGGAGCTGCTTGCTTGCCTTTCCAGTCTCTAGGACCGCTGGTGTTTCTTAACTCATTCTGTCCTCCATCTTCAAAGGCAGCATGACTGATTGAGTCCTCATTTCACCCCCCAACAGGCACGCACACACACATGCACTCACACGCATGCACATACACACACACACACACACACTGACTTCCTCTTTAGCTTTTTTCTCCTGCTTTTAATTATATTGGACCCACTTGGATAATCCAGGATGGTTCCTGGTTTTATAGCCATCTATAAAGAACTCTTAATCCTGTCTACAACGCAGTCCCTCTGCCAGGTAACCTAACACCACAGATTCTGGGGAATGAGGACATGGATACCTTCGGGTGTAAACAGAGGTTTCTTTCCCACCTGACATTTACCGAATAAAGCACTGAGAGGCTTAATATTAAGTATAATTGTTTGGCCAGTGGCTCAGGCATATTACTGACTAGCTCTCACAATTAAATTAACTCATTTAGTTTATATTTTACCATGATGCTTGTGGCTTGTTACCTCACATCTTGCTTCTCCGGCAGCTACATGGGAGACACCATATCTTTCTCACCATATCTCTGTTTGAATTTCCTGCCTGTCTCTATTTTGTCTGACCATTGACCAAAAGCAACTTTGTTCATCAACCAATAAAAGCAACACATATTTGCAGCATGCAGAAGAACATCCCCCATCATTTGGGATCTATTATTCTGTGCACTATAGAGACTGGCAAGCAAGATAGGCACATTTAAAGATAGACAGATGACTGTGGCGGCTGACCAGGAGGATGAAATGGTCATTCTGAGACTTCCGGAGATGAACATGAACTTGGAGCAAGAACACCGAGGGAGACTGGTGTGTACCCCATCCCCACCCTTCTGTGGACACAAGGCTGCATTTGCCTGTAGGAATTCCTAAAAGGAGAACGCATGTGCCGGGTCTTTTCAAAGCCAGCTTCTGTTGCCCACACACACGTCGCACACGCACATAGCACAGACAGAGACTGGTAACGTCCCGGTTTGCAGAAGCTTAGCACTCACTCCTTCTATGCACACCATCTACCCCAGCCACACTTGGAGTCTTGCTTTCATTTTTACTGCCTTCACTTCTTTTTCTTGACCATAACACCAGGGTGATGACTACCTTCCTCTGGTAACACAGAACTTACTCTGACAGTGGTTCTCACAGGGCTTGCTCTGTTTCTGGGGAGGCAGCACTGTGAGGCTCCAGGAGGATGCCTGTCCTTCGCCTTGACCATCACGCAGTCTCGCCCCTTCTCAGCCTGCTGGCTAGCTCCCTGCGGACACCATGCAGAGCAGTGTGGATACTGAGTGATGGATGGAGTGATGCTCCCGCCCTCTGTGCAGCCTCTTTGCAGCAGCACTGTCCCGCAAGACATCGTGTGGTCCAGCACTGCCCGGTGTGCTGTCCAGCGTGTGGCACAATCTCTTTGATGTGGACAGTACAGCTGAGGAGCTGGTTTCTTACTTATGTAATTTTAACCAACTGAAGTTGAAGTAGTCACACGTGGCAGGTACCCAGTCTGTTGGACGATGTAAGGAATTTGATGAGCATGCCAGAGAGGTCACAGTGGAGTTTGTGCGAAGCAGAGTACATGACAAGAACATGGCCTTTGGAACTCAGACTAGGTTTAAGCTTTGCTTCCGTGATTCTGTGATTTTTTTAAATTTAATTTAATTTTTTTGACAAATCTTATGATCTTTCTGAACTGAGTTCCAGACTCACAGTGTTATCCATGGAATTCTAGGCATACAGTGGGTGGGTGGTGGCAGGTACCATGCAACCTGAAGGGAAGAGTATTTTACCTTGAAATTGAAATCGGACTTTCTTCTGTTGCTTTTATCATTGCTTTCCAGGATTCTAAAGACCCAGGGGGCCTGACTGTCCGGCACAGGGCGGTCCGCACTCATTCCCCACCCATGAATACACCAGGGATGGCCTTACCTGTATAAGAACTGTGTGAAGTGAAGTGGGGTGGTATCGGTAGAACACCCTGATCGTGCCCCATACCTGCCCTGTGCCCAGCACTCTGCTGCCTGCTGGGGGCCCATTAGCAAACAGGAAAGATGGAAGGTCTCCTTGTGAGATAAGAGACCAGAGTCTAATGGACAGCAGCACACCAGCTCGTGGCTTCTTCCTTTTTTGTTTTTAAATCATTAAAATATGAGACTTTTTTACTGTGGAAGTCAGGATTGGTCCACATGAGTGTAGTAGACTTGCCCTCCTTTATGCTAACTGTGTTGATAAGCCATGCTGGGTCATTATACTATTTCCAAAAAATAATGGCTCTTAGAGGAAAGTGTGTGTGTGTGTGTGTGTGTGTGTGTGTGTGTGTGTGTGTGTGTGGCTCTGCATGGTTGTGCACATATGTGAGTGTAGGAGCTCTTGGAGTCTGGAAGAGGGCACTGGCTCCCCTGGAGATGGAGCTACAGGTGGTTGTGAACCATCCACACAGGTGCTGGGAACCAAGCTCAAGTCCTTTAGAAGAACAGCAAGTGCTCTTAACCACTGAGCTGTCGCTGTAACCCCAAACAACAGCTTTATAAAAGTTCTTTCTCTTATAGTTTCTTAAAAGCAGGATTATTGAGGTATAAATCACTTGTTTTGTTCACTCAGTTTACAACATATGGACCAGTGGGTTTTAGTCTCTTTTTGGAGTTGTACAACCAACATCATGATTAATTTTAGAGCATCTTTATTATCCCAGAAGGAATCCTATTCGTTAGCAGTCACTCCCCAATTCCTTCTAATTGCTCCAGCCCTAACCAGCCACCAGTTTGCCTTCTGTCTCTATGGATTTCCCAGTATGAGAATCTCATATAGATAGAATCATATAGCATATTGTCTTTTGAGAATCTTTTATGATATTTTCACTCATATTTTAATTTAATGGGGGGGAGGCGTGTGCATGCTATGGGACACATGTGGACATCAGAAGACAACTTCTAAGAGCTAAGTTCTCTCCTCCCACCACATGGGTCCCAGGGCTTGAGCTCAGGCCACCCCATGTGGCAGACGCCACGTCTACTCACTGAGCCATCTCACCATCTCAAAATGACTGGCTTGTTTTTTCACTCAGATTGTTTTCAAGGTTCATTCATGTTATAGCATATGGTAATACTGTTAACCGTATTGTTAGTAATATTCTGTTGTGATGTGTCTTTATTTATCCATCCATCATCAGATGATGGACATTTGAGTTGCATCATTTTTGGACTACGGATACTTGCGCACACGTTTTGGTTAAACATGTTCTCATTTCTCATGGTTGGCTGACCAGGAGCAGAGCTAATGGGATGCTAACACTGTCGGTAACATGGTGTCTCTTCTGTGTTTGCTAGAAGCTTCATAGCAAACCGGCCACAAAGCAGCAGCAACACAGTGCTCCATCACACATTTTCTTGGCATAAATGGTAAGGAGCACAAATAGGTCAGCTGTTTGAGGAGCTGAAAAGCCTGCTTTTCAAAGCCACGCCGCTCACTGTACATGTCCACCCGTGGAGCATCAGCCCTTCGGCTCCTCTGCATCCCTAGCGACACCTCCTGTTCCTTGCTTCTCTATAGCAAGTCAGAGCTGTGCTGCTGGGCAGGAGGCGGCGTCTCACTGTGGCTTTGAATTGAATTTCCCTAATGATTAATGATGCTGCGTGTGTTTTCATGTGCTTGTAGGCCGTGTGTTTGTCTTTCTTGGAGAAATGTCTGTTCAAATCCTTTGCCCTGGTTTTAATTGGGCCATTTGTCTTCTTTGCCTGTCTTCCCATTTGTCCCGAGCAGGATGCTGATATGCTGACGGGTGATGAGCAAATATGGAAGGAGGTTCAAGAATCGCTGAAGAAAATTGAAGAGCTGAAGGCGCACTGGAGTATCCTTTCACCAGTGGGCTGATCCACCCTGTTGGGTGCTGCTTTACTGGGAGCCTGGTGCCAGGGCCAGGTCTGAAAGCTCCAAGCGCTGTGACCTGGTCCAGCCAGCAGTGTGGGAACCACCCCGGAGGACTGCAGTAAGATCAGCACAGATACCTTACAAATGCTTTACCATGAATAGGTCAAAGTTCAGAGCAGAAGAAGAGAGCATATGATGGGATCATCTGGGATGACCCATTGGCACTTCACTGTGTAAAGGGGCTCCCAAGTCAGAGACAGGATTTGGATAGGCAGAAGCTGTGATGAAAGTCACTGTCTGCAGAGGACTCTGCTCGAACACACACGTGATGGGGGAACTACAGGCAGGAAAGAGACAGTAGAATGTGGAAAGTTCATCAGAAGGTCATCAGATGCTTTGGGTTGAACATGTCTCAGGCACTAACAAAATCTGTAAATAAGGTTTCCAATCTATAATGCTGTTAGAGAATCGTGAAGGGCACGAACGAAGATAGGTAGGTTCTCCTTTTAATAGTGAAGTATGTATTTACAGAAATCATTAGCTCAGTGGGTTTGTTAGGTCTGACTAATGACTGCAGTTGGTTAGTAAGAAAGAAAAGAAGGCTTCCATGTGCAGGTTGCTGCATGGTTTTACTAAGAACAAATCCATCCACAGAGTCAGTGATTTTTTTTTTTTGGTAAAGTTTGCACCTATATTTACTTCATGAGAGGCTTTGAAAAGAAGTAGTCAAGGTGTTTGTGTTCTATACTAGCAGATCCGGGCATCTAACTCAATTGGCGAATGACTCAAGTGTCTGTCTGGGCTGCTCTGTCGCCCCTACCTTTGATTCAGTGCCTGGAATGAAGAGACTTTCCAAGCCTGTGGAGATGGGAAGGACAGCAGGGAAAGGGCACAGAGTCAAGAGTGTGATGGTCCCTGGGCTGTCTGCATGGTGACTGCCCCTCAGAAGCTGAACTTGGGCAAGAGTGTAAATAAAGTCTTCTCTTTGGGGCAAGAAATTGAAGCATGTGAATCTGGTGGGGCGCACCAGAGGATTGTATGGTTTTGGTAAATTGTCAGGTTTAATAAAGGGTGCAAGTATATTATAACTCCCCAGAGACAACTGTGATCCTGGGCTGCAGTCATAGAATCACAGACTATAAAATGAGAAAGGGGTGACATTGGCTGATACCATCTGGAATCTCAGATTCAGTCTGGGCTATGGCATATTAATAGGGCTGTAGAGAAATTAAATTCATTAAGAGGAATGGGACAGAGTTGAGGAGTTTGAAACTCCACCTGTCAAGGTGATGAAAGGGACTGGGAAACAGCATGCTCAGGGTTGACGCTCATAGGCTTAGGGTTGCTACGCAGCTGAGGAGTCTTGTTCTCTGTGCTCCTATACAGTGGAAATTGGGCCATGCTACCAGGTATTTCACTAGTCTAATTCACCTTGTGATTCAGGCAGAGATTACAAGACACAGTCCAGCATTCGCAAATCTCACATAGTGGGGTAGTAATCAGGAAATCACTTATGTGCTGTGATTCAGATGAGTATTTCTTAATGGTCCATATGTGAGAATCCGGCCTCCAGGGTGCTCCTCGTGGGAGGTCTGGCAGACCTTTAAGGGGTGGAGGCTACTGAGAAGTCACTGGGAAGATGCCTTCTAGGGGAGCCATCAGGTCCTGGTCCTCTCAGCCTCACCCCGCCTCCCGGCTGGAACTGTGAATGCATTCTGACACCCGCTCTCACCTTGGCCATCTGGTGCCCTGGCTGGAGGCCAAACCAATGGGGCCATCTGAACTTGTTCTTGAACCCCCACAACTCACAAGCCTATCATTACTTCCTAAGGTATCTTGCATCAGATATTTCATTATAATCATGCACAGCAGAATAATACAATACATATTTTGGTGAAGATACACATACATACATGTACGAGAGAGAGAGAGAGAGAGAGAGAGAGAGAGAGAGAGAGAGAGAGAGAGAGAGAGAGAGAGAGAGAGGTTTTGTAGAGGAGGTGATGACAGCCCTGTATCTGGGGAGGTGAGCTGGACTTCAGAACAGCCATGGAGGAGAGTGCCTCAGAGGTAAGAAATGTGCCAGTCCACAGGTGATGTTGTGCTAATGTGCTGGCCAGTGTGCCACACACAAGGAAAGAACCTTCCAGAAATGGCCACGGGATTAGTTTTTAGGCAAAGGGGCCCAGAATGACGTTAGGCAGAATAGCATGGCTAGATGGGAGCAGACACTGCTCTGGCAGCCTGTCCTAAGAAGATGACTAATTCCCATGTGACTTCATTCCCTTGTCTGTCTGTCCCCACCCTCCTACAGACAGGAGCATTTGAAAGAAAGCCCCCACCGTGCCCTCAGGGTCCTCTTTGGCATAGAGCTCACTGAAACAGTGGTAATAGTAGACACCACAGGTGCCAAGGATAAATTTCTGAGCAGATACATGTCTGCGTTAACTTGGAAAGAGCCTTGTAGCTTAAACTGTTCCTCCCTCCCCACTCCCTGGAGCAGTTTACATGAAAAGTTTTGCCTTGTTTGCCAGGAGATGGTTGCCAATATTGTGGAGGGAGATTGGCAAGAGGTCCTTTCCCACTTGGCACAGGGTGTGTGGATGCATCCCCGTGAGTGTGTACAGCGTATCACATCTGGATTCCACTCGCAAGGCGTCTCACCTCAGCCTCTTGATGAGGTGGGGCACATTATGGAAATGAGTAGACAAGTAACCATGAGGATCCATCGAACAATGTGACAATAAGGCCCAAGCCTTGCCACAGAAATGTCTGGCATTGTGTAAGAGACAGCCATTCCTCCAGACAGCTTGTCAAACATCTAATCCTGGAATGAAAAGCCATGAGGTTAATCATGGCAGTCTGTTTCAAAATCAGCACATTGCCTAAGAAACCGCTCCCCCCAACCTCTGGAGGGCCCGTTCGGTAAACGTGAAACATCCATGTCATGGGAATACAAAAGAAAATCACCAACTGTCAATAACTTCAAATCACTGTCTTCAGTATGTGAACCCCTTCTGGGATCAGAGCCAGGACTCACCCATAAGAGGTGACACAAAGGCCTTCAGTTTACAGTTCTTCCCAAGGAGATGACGCTCTGGAGGAAGGTGTTGTGCCTCAGCTGACAGGAAGCATCTCTTTCATTGGGTTCATGAAGATAGTCTTCCCATTCACAGGTGGGGCTTGGGTGGCGAAAAGCCTCCCTAGTGTTTTGGAAGCAGAGCTCTGCAGGCATGAGCAGTGCAAAGTGGATTCTGTGGGAAGAGGGAGAAAGGAGCTTTGCACGCATGGGCGAGGCTTGCTGTGTCAGAGCACTGATGAAGAGGACTGAGTTGAAGTTTAGGAGAAGTGCATGGAGTGTGGTGTTGTGAGAGATGGGGAGGGGTGCCTCCATCCTCCATCCTCTTTCCCTTCCGTCTGTCAGGTCAGGGGTTGCCACAGGAAGGAGAGTGGTATCTCTGCTGTATGCTTTGCATGCCCCAGTAAACTTTCCAACCATGTCCATGACACCCAGAACTCTGCCTAGCTCATGGGAGGACACACGGAGATCCCCCAATTTCTAGATACTGTGTCTTATTTGATATTCACTGAGACAGATGTTTTGTTTCCAGCCTATCTTGAAGCATTTGACTTTCTCAAGGCTCCAAACCTGAAGACTACTTAGGTAGAACATACTTAGGTTTGAGCCAAGCTCTATGGATGATGAAGCTCTGTACTGTTTCTTCTGTAGTTTGAATCTTCAAACCGTTTTCCCCAAGTGGAATTCTAACATCAAAGCAGAACAGCATAGACCTGCAGTGGCAGGAAATGGGGGGGAGGGCAGAGAAATGCCCAGTCTCAGTACGACAGAGTAGCAGAGGAGCTGTGTGATGACCCCAGTCGGGCCCACACATGCACTTTAGCTGGGCATGGAGGAAGCCCCATGTCTTCGGTCCTCCAGCTACCTCTATAAGAGGGTGTAGATGTCTGTCTGCAAAGGCGAGGTTAAAAGCTGCACCAGGTACCACACACCTGTAGGCTCAGCGACTCAGGAGACTGAGGTAGATGGGTTGCGTGAGCCAGGGATTAGAGGTCACCCTGAGTAGTAAGGTGCAATTTATGGGGACTGGCCTGTCACATGGAGCCTCCTTAAGGTTAATTACTGACTTAATTGACACGCAATCAATCAAAAGTCGGTGCCACTGAGCAGTGGGTCTTCTTGCGCTTCTTGCTCATGGCACATAAACTGTTCCTGGTACTTTTCTTTCTTTTTTGTTGCTTTTTGAAACAATATCTCTCTATGTAGTCCTTGCTGTCCTGGAACTTGCTACATAGACCAGGCTGCCCTCAGAGAGAGCCACCTGCCTCTGCTTACTTTAAACCCAATGTTTGGGTTTACAGTAAGAATACATTTATTTCAGTGAAGTATAGGTTTTGAGTCACTTTTGTGTTATAGTAAACACTAAATATAAGACCCCCCTGGAAATGCATTTCTTCAGATGACCACACCTGCTGCAGGCCTGCACATCCAGGGCTCAGATGAGTCAGAAGAAAACTCATGCTTCTCTTTCCTCAGAAAGGATTCTCTCTTTTAAACAGAAATAATTCCACAGTAAACTATTTGAAACCAAACTCAAACTTCAGTACAGTTTAATAAACACCTTCATTCATTTCTCAACTAAGTTGAAGGAGAAAACATGTAGACGTGTGAAAAAAGAATATTTCTTGGGGACTTTTAATTCTCCTAAAGTACAGGCTGGGCTAGAGGATGGTTTGTTGATGTAAACAGAATTCACTTCAGTAAGATGGCACTTGAACGTGTTTTTGTCTCTCAAGTGTGTTTCCAGGCAGCTCATCCGTATGAAATAATGGGCACCTCCTCCCTCCCATGTCTGGAAGCTCTGCAGCCTTTTAGACATCTGTGCTTACTTCTGTGTTTTCTTGATGAAGACAATACATCCTTAACTCAGTTAATAACAGAGTGGGAGCAGGTTCTGACCCTGTGCCAGGCGATCATAAGCAGCAACTCTGAACGGCTTCCCGACATCAACATCTACCAGCTGAAGGTGCTCGATTGTGCCATGGATGCTTGCATCAACCTGGGGATGCTGGAGGAGGCCCTGTTCTATGCCATGCGCACCATGGAGCCGTACCGGTGAGTGCAAGGCGGGGCTGACACACAGGTGTCTTCACTGTTTGCATGGGATGGGATGGCCGTCGCCAAGTCACTCTGACTCTGCTGTCTTATATCAAGTGTCCCATTGGCTTTAGGCATATGAAACCAGACCTTGTTTCATTCATTCCTCCATTTCTTCACACATTCATCAGCCATTGGCAAAGGCATTCCAGGTTCCTATCCATGTGCTTGTTCAGTAATGAGTTAGGCACTGTCTCTTGGTGGAACAGGTGATTGTAATACAGTGTGAAGTTTGCAGTAACAAAGGCAAGCAGGGAGGCAGGCAAAGAGGAACATGTGACTCCTCCTATCTTTGAACCACTGGTCCAGGTGAGGGAGGCAGATGTGCTGCTCTTTGGTTGGTTTACAGTAGTGATGGCTCCAGATTGATTGTCAGAATTGATATTTGTGAGAGTGCTGGTATACAGATTATTGACCCTTATAGTCACCTTGTGACTAGGTAAGTGGCTGCTCTTCTCCAATGGGTCATTGCATTGGAGAAGAAACTATTGGTGAACTATAGGTAACCCATCACTCTGTGTGGGGTGAGGGACGTTAATTCATCACAGTGTCTGTTCGAGTGTGCGCGTGTGGGCACGTGTTTGAAGACAGGATCTAGGTCTGTGGCCCAGGTTAGCCTCCAACTCATGATCCTCCTGCCTCAGCCCCATTTGCAGTACTAGGATTGCAGGAATGTGCCACCATGCTTTGTGGAGATTGACTGCTTCTTGCCCCTGCTCCTCTCCTCCAGGTGGGTGGGTGTTTGCTCTTGGGTGGTCTTGTGATGTGGAGGAGTTTTGAGGGAAGGGGGTTGAAGACAAGGGCAGGAAGTCTGACTCTGCTGGCTGTGGGGCTCCAGTTTTCCCTGGGCTAAGAGCTGAAGTTGAGTCTGGGAACAAGCCAATGGGGAGAATGTGGGCCAGTGAATAATCTCAGATCAGGTTTCCCAGTGCCCAGCACAGGACAAAGTTGCCACGGAGAAGACACCTGGATACACGGGACATAAAGGGGACAGTGTCTGCAAAGCAGGGCACCATTCCTGGAAGATGTACACCTCCCCATTGTGCAGATGATGCTAATACAACCTAGCCAAAGAGGGTGAATCTCAGGGAGTATCCAGGTCTAGACCTTTGGGACATGAGGCAACAGGTACAGGTAGCGATTCCAAGTAAAGCAGGTGGGGCACAGCCTGTCCCCACTGGAGGGGAGCCTCAGGTGACAGATGATAAGGAGGGGAAATTACCAGTATCTGCATGTCAAGAACAGAAGCAGGGTTAGAATCTAGACTGTCGACAGAGAAAGCGATATCAAGCCTGTGTGACCCGAGGTCAATAGTCAGATCTGGGTCAGCACTACATGTGGGCCAAGTCCCCACTACCAAGTAGATGGCAAAGACCCACAGACCAGCCAGTAGCACCAGAAAAGAGCCTGAAGATAACCAAGTCCCCACTACCAAGCAGATGGCAAAGACCCACAGACCAGCCAGTAGCACCAGACCCAAGGGTGTTTCCAGACTTTTGGCAGGTGGCTGCTTTTGTTCCCTTGTGGTGAGCAGCTTTGGAAGTGTCTGTGAGTCAGCTTTAATCTAACTGCCTGGAGGGCTGAGACCGGAGACTTTCCCATGAGCAGTGGAATGTCTGTTCAGGGTGAGGAATCTTGTGGGTTTTCTGAAAGTATGAATCGAACACAGAGAGATAAGGCTACTTTCTCAGAGCCTTACTGGGTGTTGACACGGTTAATGCAGTCTCCGAAGGCTGCGGCCTGGCCTCGGGAGCTCAGAACACAGGCGGCACAGTGTGCGGATGGACCCAGGCCAGGGGCTGCAGACTGAGAGATCCCACCTTTCTCCAAGCCCTGTGGCAGCTCTGCTGTCGTGTCGACACCCCCCCCCCCCTGTCTTTGGAGCAGATTCTCCTCGCCTCATGGTCCCTTCTATTTGCCATCCTGGCTGCCCTGCCAAGACCAACATGAATCAGTCATTTAAATGCCCTACCAGAAGGCCCTAACAGTCCCGAGTGCATCTTGAATCTTCTTTTGTCAACACTCACACAGATTTCTGCACAGGATTGGCCTAACTCTAGTAAGTTGGTGGTTTGATTGACCAGCACTCGAGGCAGTCAGCTTTCTGCATAGGTGGAGCCAAGTCCTCCGCAGCATGTTCCCTGTGTTTGAGAAACTTTTGGTTACTTTTTTTTATGGTGTTGGCTAGTCACCTTCTCTCTGTAAATGTGTGTTCTCTCCTTGTGTGCATGACAAGTTTCCAAACCTGGACAGTCTGTCCTCCCTAGGATTCTGTAAGGACTTCTTTGCAACATGCTATGCTGCTTCACTTCCAGTGAGTAGGATTCGTGCCATCTGCCACCAGAGGCCCTGTAGAAGCAAAGGCTAGGAACAGTCTAGAACCAACACAGTTAAAAGAAACAGGAACACACCTTGTCCTTTTCCCTTTAGCTCAGGAGATGTGAAAACAAGGCCCACAGGCCAATCTTGAACAAGAAGGGGCTGGGAAGATGGTGATGGTTTTCACCTGTGGCTACTCTAGGTGGGCTTTTGCTCCCATTTAGCTGGGGACACAGACAGTTAGCTAGGTCTGGGTTACTGAGAGGTGACCGGATTGCCATCCGCAGGAATAACTTGATGATGTCAGTCTGCTGCTTGCTGTGCCTGGATTGAGGTCAAGCCTCTAATAATGAGCACTTTGTCACTCACGACCTCATCTCAGCTCTGGCTGTTGACCTTGGAGGACAGAGCCCGGGTCCCATTTTTATCCAGCCCACTGCTTTCAACCCTCATTTTGCTACTGACTTATTTTTACTCAATAGATCCTACTTGGGTTTATGGTGCAATTTAATGCAGACCATTTTATTAAATCTTCCACAACAGTGTCTAGATCGGCTCCTCGTCTTTTTAACGGATGCATTGTCCTGTAGAAGCATCTCTGACCCTCGGTGCTTATTTAGCCTCACTCTGTACATTCTGATCCAACCACTAACCTATCCCACTCAGGATGCCTTAATAGAGTACCAGCATCTAGGCAACTTAAACAACAGAAATTTGTCTTTTCACAACTTTAGAAGCCCAAGGTGCCAGTAGTTTGGGCCTTTGTCTGAAGCCCATCTCCTTAATCTGTAGATGGTGGGTTTTCGTTGTGTACACTACATGGTACCCCACTGTACAGGGGGTGCCCCAGAGGTTTCTTCATCTGTCTCATCTTTTTATAAAGCCACAAATTGGATTAGGGCCCACCCCCAAAGGCGTCATTTTAACCCAATTACCTCTTTAAAGATCCCATCTCCAAAGGCTGTCTCATTTGGAGGTCATTTGCAAGGGATTATGGGAGGATTAGAATCTGGCCCATATTCTTGGCCATTTGCCTCCAGCTTAACCACTGCCTTCTTGCCATTTCTAAAAATGACCCATATCAAGAATCAATTCCACCTGTCATTCTTGGAAAAAGACCCCTCTTGCTTGTAAGGTCTCTGCTTGAGTTCAGGAGCTCCAGAGGCATGCAGCAGCCCCTGCCAGCGTGTGCAGGAGCAACTGGGTTGACCCTGGAGACTTGCTTCCTAACCAGCCATGTAGGCACTAGCTGGCCAAGGAAGAAGACCACCTACTACTTGATCCCAGCTTAGGCTACTCACGCTCAAAGTATGGTGCCCTATTGCCATGTTCTGCCGCTTCGTCATGGGCTGACTACAGAACGCGGCCATTTTCCTGTCTGGTTTGTCTTGGTGGGTGATCTTTCACTCTGGCAATCTCTTTTCTATGCTGGGTCAAGGACACTGATCCCCCCTTCCCTTCAAGTCCTGTCACTGTGGATGAATACCCAAGAAGAAACCCATTCTCCACCCTTCTGGCTGGGTCACAGGAAACCTGTACTGTTCATGTTCAGCCGTGTGGATGAGCAGTGTGAGTGAGTGTGTGTGTGTGTGTGTGTGTGTGTGTGTGTGTGTGTGTGTGTGTGTGTGTGTGTGCACGCACTGAGAAGTTATTCCTGGGTGTTCTACAAAAGTATTCCCATAATAATAAACCCATTGCTCATCCCGGTCATGTCTTCTCCTATACTTTTCCAAGCCCTTACAGAAGCCCTTGGCTTTCCTGAACAACAGTCTTCACTTCCTTGCTACAACGAATTGTAGCATAAACCAGGGGTGGAGAGCAGACCCTTGGTAATCTCTGGGCATGTGCTGCCTATCTCCTGTTGAATCAATCTGTGATCAGCTGCTCTTACAGTACAAAGCTGCCATTTCTCTTCCTCTTCTCACCTCTTGGAAGAGAAAGTAGGCAAAAAAGGCCTGAGAAATGGGAAATGGTGGATAGAACTTTGAAAGACTTAAGACTTTAAAAATAAATTTTAATCACATATGATCACTAATTTTAATCACATATAAAGCACATGCTTTATGATTATAAAAATTGATCAGTGCCATTTATTTGTGTATTTTGAATGAAATCCATATTGGGTTTTTAGAAATTCTCCAAGGGTGGGTGAACGGACTGTGAATAAAATTGCACAAATAAAACTGGTTTCTCAAGCCTCATGAATCTGATCAGTTGTAGAGAACAGTGATAACATTTGTGAGGAACAGTAAGAGGTCCTTGAGAGAAATGAAAAGATGGGGATTGAATGTCCTTCAAAATTGTAGTCCCAGCTTTTGAGATAGTCAAGTTATTTTGAGCAAGAAAAACAGCCTCTGAACTAGTTAATATAAAGCCCTATAAAGCTTGTTAAAGCAGACTGTCTTGAAAAATGGTTAATATTCTTATTGTTCAATGTATTCAAGAGAAGTGGCCCAGCCAGCTGCTAAGAAAGACAGTGGGCAACCAAAACCCCAGAATGGGGAGGGGACACTGCTCTGGTAGTTGTGGGGGGGAAGCACCCTGTTTTGCACTTTGCAGAGAGTAAATGGATGATAGACATTGCTTTTTCTTCCCAAAGGACACCAATCCTACTAACGCTGCCCTTCAGAATTAAAGAG